TCTTTACTTTTAGCACGATTCTGATAAAACTTTGAAAAGTATTCGAAAGCTGTCAATTATTACTGATTCACCAAACATCTAGCTATGTTTAGAGACCTGCTTTTTTGTAATTTTTATCGAATTTTTTAGTCTTTTTTGCCTTAAAAAAAATTCACATTCACACTCCTCAAGTATTACCTGCTGTTATGTTTTTCAAGAAGCTTCGGTCCCGTTATTAAACTCGCTTAGAAAGGAAAGATCTACCAGCATTCTAAAAAGCAATGTATCACCAAACAGGCTTACCTAAAACCTTGAGCTTGCTTAGTTTTAATTAGATTTAAGATTTTATTACTTATTTTTAGGCTTTGAACTATGAGATTCAATATATAAAGATATATTACCAAAAAAAACAAAGAATCTCAACTGAAGTCTGCACTGATACCCCTATTACGGTTTTGAGCTCCACTCAGTTGAATTGAAGTTAAAACAACTTCATTTTATATTTACTGCTTCCTAATAGTAGCTTGCCCTGAGCCAATTTCGAGACTGCTTGGCAGCAGTTGTAATTTTTTGATATTCTTGTCAAATCCACTGGCACAGATTTTAACACCGTAATACAGCAAAAAATTTGAAGTTTGAGAACACTTCTAGCGGACCTTTTTTTGACGGATTGGGTTGATACTGATAATACCGAATTTAAAAACTTCAACCAAAATGCGGCTGAGTTCAAAACCGTAATAGGGGCTTGGGTCTCTCTTCGATTATGAATCTGATACAAGGTATGTCAGTTCCGATTCAACACATCACGATCCAAAGAAAAATCAAAATATTAAATAGCCAATGAACTCTCTCTTCAAACATTCATCAGTGACTAACAGAGTTGTCTACGAATATTAAATTTATCTTATGATCATTTGGTTTTAAAGTGTTTAGTAAGAGCCAGCTTCGAAATAAGCAAGCAATTAGCGTTTGTTGTAAAGAAAATGTTTCCTTAGGCAAAACACTTTAATTTTATTGTTGATTAATGTTTAACTATAATTTCTCGAATAGAACTACTTACTAAGTAGATTAATCAAAGGCAACAATTATCGAAAAAATGCTGCTAAAAATGAAGTAAAACATATTCACCACAATATAAAATTACACACATAGTTAGATACATATATATGCATACCCGTATATACATAGGTTCAAAAATACAAGAAAAAATATATTTAACTAAATATAAGGGAAATGTAGATAGGATTATAAAAAATTTAAAGAAGTAATAATCGAAACGAGCAATACGAAAAATGCTTCAAAACAGTAAAACAAAAGCAAAACAAAAAGAAATATAACAAATATATTTAATCAGCTGACTGCATATAGAAGAAAACAAGAAAGCGATTGGAAAGTTATATACAAGGCATGCATAACTACTTACCTTAAACATACATACACACACAAAGTATACATACATATACAATGTTTAAGCAATTTTAACAAATCAAATTGAAAGAAAATAATAATTAAAACTTAGTTAAAGTATAAGAATATGAACAACAATAGCTAATTATATACACATATACAAGCAATATATATGAATATGTGTACGTATTGCAAGCGATCGTCGATGCATAAATATCTCACAGCAACACATACACACATACAGTAAAACAGAAATTTTCAAATAGTAACTGACAACTAAACAAATCAACCGCTTACAACAACATTAACGCAACAATAACACAAAACAAATGTAGCAAAATTAAAATAAATAATAAATAAAAAGCAATAGACCTGCGCACCAACACGCCAACACAAATCATATACAAACAAGTGCATAGAAATATTTAAAGCATAAAATATTCTAAAACAAATTATTGCAGTTACATTAAAATTTAATAATGCAAAATTGTAATCAACCGGAAGTGAATAGTACTATGGCAAATCAAGTAAATAGACAACTATATACATACAAACATACATATATATAAATATATGTGAAGTAATAATTAAATGAGTATGACAATATACATATGCGCCTGTATTATAAGTTGAAATTGAAATGTACGAGTATGTATACCAATAAAGGATTCACAACCATACAAGAAAAACAAAAACCAACACGTGTCAATTATATGCATTTTATGATTATCGGATTTACAGTTCTACTTGCATTTACTTTTATAAATACACCCGTAATGCCCTTTCCATGATCTAATAAAATAAATAACAATTAAGCTTAAGCCCACACTCAATTTTCGGTACTAATACTAAATAATAATTTTTAAGTGAAAATTCTAGATCAAGATTTAACCTCACTCCTTATGCTTAGTATGTTCGTTATAAAGAGTGAACCTATATGCATCAAGGAGCCCATTCACAGAAAGTATTTTATGGCACAAAGTAGTCGAAAATGTAACACAAATTTATGAATATCACGGATATGTAACACCTCCAGTACTGGCGCAATCGCACTCTACTTAATATAAAATTGAACGTTTACTGAATATCGATATCGTTTTTCGGATCCTTGCGAATTTTGTTCTAGAACTAGAACCCACTATTCTTTCTGACCAAACGAGAAGCTCCATTAACTATCAATTTTCACTGTTTCGAGAGTATCTGTTAATTACCTCAGAGTAGTCGATTTGTCTACAGTTTTTTGTCATCTTGCAAAACAGTCCAGTTTGAGTGTACATTTGCTATATTGCTAGACAATTTTTAAAAAAATATCCCACTGAGGCAACATCTTGAAAGCGGACTTGGTTCCAGAGCACTCTAAAGGATCTTCAGCTTGAATAATATGCTTAAGATATGTATATATTTAAAATATATAGGCGAAGGAATTATTTGGTAATTAAACAAGAAAAAACGTTAACTTCAGCTGCAACGAAGGTGTAATACCCTTCAGAGGTGCATTTCTTAAAACGTGAAAAGGTATAAAAAATCATATACATATGATTCAGTGGCGCGATATCGGTGGTTCCGACCAATAAGCAGCTTCTTTGGGGAAACGGACGTGTGAAAAATTTGATATCTTAAAAACTGAAGGACTAGTTTGGATATATACAGAATAACATTATTCGTCTTCTAAGAAAATTTCGAAGACATATATTAGTATACACAACAATACAACAATAAAGTACGGTTGTCAAGAAATAAAGTCTTACTCGAAATAGGGCACAGAAGTGCATAAGCATAAGCGAACAAAATGGGTAGAGCACTTGAAATCTTAAAGCCTCTCCGCCGGTGTGAGAAATCATTGGGCTAAAAGTACGACCAAGTTTAAATTCAATTCAATGGCCATGCTGCGGTCTCGAAGTGCGCGAGCTATATTAACCGGCAATTTACATGGCACCATTTATCATGAACATAAACATGTTAATGCCAAAACACCTAGGCTCGAAGGGAGTAAAATATCTCACCAAGGTTCTCAATGTGTCACTGACCACTCTTCACATATGTGTACCCGATATATGGAAAATCAGAAGAAGGGTACCACAACTAAAACTTGGGAAACCCGCCAATCCAGGAGAGTCTTATCTTTCGATGATTTTCCTTACTCCTGACATTCCCTCATCATATGATCCTAGCAGATCACCAACATTGCTTTCGTAGAGTATACAGCACCACCACATCATTTTAACGGTAAAGCATCATAATGGGTTAAAAAAAACCGTGGGCTTAATCAAAAACCACCCTGTTTGACTCAACGCTACTAAAAGACATTGAAAAATCTACGCTACCTTCAGGGTTGAAGAAACGGACCATGAATTATCTGAGCGGTCGTCAATCCTCCCTATTATTTCAATTTCATTTACATGTATTCAAAAGTAAACGACTATCTCACTGATCTTTGTCGTTTCTTCTCTGCAAGAGGCCTAACACTCTCCCTTACTGAGTCCACAGCGACAATATTCACGAACTGGACGAAAGAGTACAAATTGGATTTTAATATTGCAGTTGATGACATTCCTTAATAACATTGCAAACTCTACCGACCAGACTGCAGACGGCCTTTAGACTTTTCACAGTGGAGCATTAACACCTTCACTTACTCCCTCCCTGAATGGCGTCCATAGCAGGATAGATTCCTACTTATTCAGAATCGACATCGATACACCAAACAAGTTCTAGATAACAACCAGAGTCGACGAGAGAAAAACCGAGAATTGGGGTAAAAGGGTCAGGGCCACCTCCCTACAGGTATGTTTCTAATGCTTTATACATCAACTATCTTCCCACTTACTACTTCAATGTATTTGCATAAGTCATATACGAATAAATTTGCTTTCTTGTTGATGTTGTGTGGAACAAATTTGTTTTGTACGATTTTGAAAATCAATAAACTAAAAATCAATTCATACATAGGCTTTAAATCAAAAATATTTTTTCAGATTTTAGCGGAATATATGACTATAGGGATAGCAAGACTTGACAGTTAAAAAGAAGACAGAAACATCTCATTCAAACATTTATTTATCGATCTAATTAATGAAAAAACGGTTCTTCTGAAGTTCCTTGACTATCATGCTCAAGTTTTTGAACATGCAGATTAAAAATCCTCCAACCTTCAATTATTTGGAACTCAGAAGTGTTTCAAGCTTTGGCGGCAGCAAATGTGTCGATAATAGTCTGGAAATCGCACTTCTTGCTTAATTCGGGTAAAGTGAAAAATATTCTCAAAACGATGCAAATAAAATGAGAAATTTCTTAATTTTCCAGCATTAAGACGAGTTTCAAAATTTGCATCGTAAACATGCCTAAGGGGAATAGCTTCACTGAACAACTTGTCAGATACATCAAGAGAATCCTTGTTTGCAAAGTTGTTTGCAATTGCACTCAACGCATAATTTCTTTCCTATCATGGAAATCTCATAGAAATGAAAACGATTCAATAATGTCACTAATTGAGCAGGAACTCCGGGTTTGGAAAAAAAAATTGTGCGCCTACAAAGAAACTGCCAAATTTTTACAAAAATGTTTAAATTTTTTTGCAAAATTATAATAATAACACAATTTAATATTAAAACATCTTTTTAATCATTTTCGTCTCTCATTTTATGCAAACATTATTTTCTTATCGCTAAAAGTGCACATCATTATGCATACATATGTAAATATATTATCAAACTACAATATATACTTTGTCTTCTTATCCTGTATACATATATCCATTATATAGAGAAAAAAACTATTGCACGATCATTTAACGTTGAAGAAGGCCAAAAATATTGCGCTGTCTTTGATTGCTTTGAGTTACATTAATTTCACATTAATACCTATTACATATATACAATGTTAAGCATAAGCAAACAAATACGAAATGTAAGCAAGCAAACAATGCAGTTTTAGCTTTTCTTCTGGGGCGGCTGGGCGGCTTTCCGATCACAAATACACAATTTCAAAAAAAAAAAATTAAACTTGAGGATATAAAATCCAAAAAATACACAGCACAGTGTACTCGCAAAATACAGTTAGTAGTGCTAAGGTGATATGTTTCGAAAGGAACAGGCATATGTATATGTGCCTATAGGAACTGGGCCTTGTTTTATTTATTTAAACGCCGTTTGGCAAACAGCTGATAAATACCAATAGCCGCCGAGAGTGTACCGATCGCCCCCACTTGAAATGTAGACAGCTTGCCGCCCCACAGGTAGCCTTTGGGTAGAGTGCTGACGGCGTGGGTGAAATCGAGTGAGAGTCGTAAAACGGAGAGCAGTTCCAGGCGATGCTTTTTGAGTAATTTTTCATCCACACGTGAGCTGGGTAAAAGAAAAATAAATCGGTAATTTAATAACTACAGTAAAACCATCGAGAATTCTCCTTCTCTAATACTTCTATACATAAAAACTATATAAACCTGTACTCTCAGTTACTAATTGCATTTAGTTACTCACTTAGCCACATTCGCCGCATCCACCTTTTGTTGATTTAAAGAGTAATTGCGCATTGTTCTAAAAGTGAATTCGCCAAAAAAAAATTATAAGTAGAAAATACAAATAAATGTAATTAAAAACAAATTTGTCATTTCGAAGTACCTCATTAAATTCAAGTAGACGGAAAGTACCCAAAACGTTGAGTTAAGCACGTCCCAAGCATCAGCATTTTTGACATCGAGTATGTTGTGTTCCGACAGCCAACAAATTTTTTCGATTGGATAATAAAGCAAGTCCACAATATTTGCAGTGACGCCCAGCACCGCCATTAGACGATCTTGTTCCTGTTCGCCCAAACCATACTCCAAAGCGTATTGTATCATAGGAATGTCGTCTATGAGACGGAGAGTGGCACGAGCGCCTGAAATACGTGAGCTGGTGATGGCATAACGTTTGGCCAGCTCCGGATTTCGGCTGGCATGATAGCCCGCGACAAGTTTGGCGCTGTAGCAAAGTGCCTTCATCACCTGAAATGAAATTAGAATAAAGGGTGTTGATTTTGAAAAGTCTAAACTTATAAATTAGATTACAATAAAAGCAAGAAATTTGGTTTTTTCACGTATCACTAATTAAAAGATAGTATCATGGTAATCAATAACCTTTTTACAAACCAAATTTTCCAGATTTCAAAGTCGAGACTAAGTGGAATCGAAAAGAACGATAAATTGATGGGAGGAAGTTTCCGTATAATTAAGTAAGTATCGGAAGATTGCCGATTGAAGCTGCACGAGTTAGCTGCGACAGGAGGCATCTCAAAGTATGCCTACGCGATATTCTACATGAAATATTGGGTCAGACAAACGGGACTTTGAAAGTACTTTCCAGCAGTATTTTACGCTGTTTAAGTGCTATCCGAAAGTTTGACCTTCGGCGAAACATGAATCCACTGGCACACACCAGAGATACAATAATAGAGCAGTGGAAAGAATGGAACTCACCTGGCGAATCTGCTCCGAAGTTGGCGAAGATTGTCCAATCAGCCGAGGAGATGAAGGCAACAGCCTGTCTTATCTACCATATTTTTCACTATTCATATTTTTCCGTGGGACTTCTTTTTTTCTGAAAAAGTCGTTCGCCGAACAAAATATTTAGCCGACCAAGGTCATCCTCGCAATGAAGACCCTCAGGTTATGTTGAGAAATGATTCGCCATTTTTCCAAAATTTTTGTTATTATTTTGTAGACTAAGTCCACGTATGGTACTTCGGGTGTCTCTGTATACGAGTATATATGTATGTATATTGACACATAATAAATTCTGTTTTTAATTATCATGCTAAGTAAATAGCACTTTATTGCTATTAATAGCGCAAGTATATATTGGAGACTTTGAAATGAAGCGGCAATACTTTAAGTTCTAAGTAGATACATACATTATGGGTATTTAATAATTAATAACAAACAATTTCAAAACCCCTCTTTGGCTTTTTAACGCAATATGCAAACAATAAAACACTTTAACTGCGGTAGCACTGAACCCCGTACAAGTAAGAAATACGTTTTAGGTTAACGAAAAAATTTCAATTACTTAATTCTATAATATAATTTTCTTCACCGACCGTGTTTCGCGCCTCTGTGCACACCCAAAATTTTAATATCACAATTCAATGTATTGAAGTAGGCACTCAAGTGTGAAAAACCTTCTTAGAATCACCTATTTAAATATTGTTGTTATAGTCTACAAGGTGTCTACACTGCCCACTACGTTCAGAGATAAGTAATTAGTTCACAAATAATTCATAAGCACATTTCACGTGATAAGTACCGCTGCTTAGAATTCATTAACAATTAATAGATTTTGTATGGAAAATATTGGAAAAAGTAAAGCCCCCAAACAGTTAAGGTAAACAAGATAGACAATTATGCATTAGAAAAACGTGTATTCAGGCGGACGCAATGTTTACAAAGCAAAGCGCACGCGAATCCCTTTTTGTCGCCATAATCACTTAATCGCTTAAGAACACATATTTGAGTTTACTGAATTTAATTCTAATGCTATCAAGAAAAGAGAAAAACCAAAACACGACTGAGTATATTGTATGTGTAGATAGCAACAACTTATTTAACAAAGTTAATTATGAAGCATTGTAAATGGATAACTATCATTTGCTATTCACCAGATCATACTTCAGAGTGGCAAGTGATATCATCACGATTTGCGCTAGACGAGCGTAGACGAGCGTGTAAATCAATTTTCGCCGAGAGTTTTATTTCAGTCAATAAAAATAATGCGCCGCTAAAATATATGGCAGTTTTATATCTTATCCAGAAAATGTTATTAGAAATACTTCTTTTCTCAACAATGCTTGACTAAACACGTTACATCTTTGGATAATATTTATTGTTTTTGTTTTATGCTTCTTATACTTTCACAACATGTTGCTACAAAGTATCATAATTTTGTTCACCTAACGGTTGTTTGTAACACCTAAAACTAATCGATAGAGATATAAAGTTATTATTATATTATATATACCATATACATATATACTTGTAAAATAAATGATCACGATGACAAGACTAGTTAAATTCCACATGATTGTCTGTCCATAAGGCACCGTTGAACCGGCAAAGTGATTACTTGAATAAAAATTGAGATATATTGATGAAACTTGATACATATGTTTATTGGTACCCAAGGGAGGCTTGTATGGCATTTAGTATTAGACTATGGCCACGGCCATAAAACGCCGTTGTTCGAAAACGTTTGTATAAAGAGACATAACTAAGCCAAAAATTAAGAAACTAAACTGTAATTTAGTACAGGGCATCGGAACATGAATGGGCATCTGTTATTCAAAACTTTTTAAGAAGAGAGAGTGGCCCGCCCTCAAATAGGTTTAATGTGTATATCTCACAAGCCGCTAATAATCAAAATCAAATTATAACCACTCCCCATATAACCGTTGAGATGATAACTACTTAAAGTGCAATAACTAAATAAATAATTCAATTCATGTGGACAATGGGTGTGGCCCCGCCTACCATTGGGTAATATCCCGAACCGCTACAACAACATCCCGAACCTCAGGAACTGTTTAAACTGTTTAACCCATTTCAATAACATTATTTTGGCTTTCATACGCTACTTTGTGATAATGGGTAACAACCACACATACTTTTCATAAATCACAATTTTAAATTCCCTATGATTCTTTCACTTTACAGTATATATGTACATATATCGTGTGTGTCCTTGTACCTAAAATGGGCAATAAGTAAGATGTCTTAGCAAAATTTCGTGAACGCATAATATTGAATATACTATAGCTTAATTCCGAAAATGTATGTGTATTATTTTAATAAAATTAAGTAAATATATATACATCTTATATTGTATATCTAGTTATATTTAGTATCCTCATGCTAACTTTTTGACATTTTGAGAATTGATTAATTACATATTAATTGATAATTATCAATGGTAAATTATTTTGAAAAATTCAATGCAATTAGTGATATGCACATGCATGTTTCTTCAATGTCAGTCAAGTGGTAATGACGACGAAATTTAAAAACAAAAGCTATGTCGATTTTTTAAAATTTTCTATTTCATACCTTTTACTCGAAGAAATCGGTAAAAGCAGCTGAATAAGTAAAACAATTAAAAATTTGCGACAAGATATGTATGTATGTATGTATAGTATTATAATAACAAAATTTCAATTATACCTATAAAAACATGTTTTTCAAATATTATATCTAAATAATAATGTGTGTACTTGCCCCATATAAGGTTTTCTTCAAGTCAAAATTTATTTTTATTGTGCAGGAAACGCTGTTTTTGGCAAATACCTACATAACATATGTACATATTATATAGCACATACAAACAAACCTATATATGTGTCTAACGATAAGATTTCGAGTTAACACGCGTGATTTTGTGAATGCCTAGCAATTATGATTATAAAAATAATTGTTTAACATAGAAAAAAACCCATTAGAAAAACTTTTATCGGCCAATCAAAATATTTTATAAAATTGAAACCACATGATCTTGCAGACTTTATATTGCAATTTGTATTGTATTTTTAAACAAGAATGCATATGCATATTTTAGATATAATTGAAAATATGTACATAATTTTAAATGCTCTCAAATTGAACTAAGCACAAATGCTCACGGGTATATTGGCAAAGATACATATATATGTACATAGTATCTGCTTAACAATTTCAATTGACAATAAACGGCACTTTCGCATCAGGGTATAAACTGCAAACACAGACGCGTTATACTTGTACGTATGCATACGAGGGCACAATACATTGTCTATGATGTAGTAGTCAAACACACCTAACTTATTAAAACGGAAACTTACTAGTTTTAATTGATTTTAGTTTTGTAGACAATAACGCAATATTTCGAAACGATTCCAGTGTTAGGCTTGAAAAATATGTTAATTCATAGCATCACACCGAGTAGTCTCTAATGTGGCGGAACAGGCGATGTCAAGGTCCGGTGTTTTCATAATTTGTCATATGTATATACATATGCATTTATGTCTTACAGCTACACATTTATGCAGCATATAAATAGTTGTATGCACAAATGTTTACACATTTCACTTTCAATAAATATACGCACATACGTATTTATATACAGGTAGGTCTTGAAAGGGAAAAACCTGTTGTTTAGGTTGACACGAAAATAGCTTCCAATTGATTGGTAAAGTGGGAGTGACCTCATGTTATACTATGTCAACATCGCAATGCGTGGCAAGTTTAACATCCGGAAAGATATTATCACTTTTTCATTCAATATTAAATTGCCGATATCAGTTAGACGACTACTGCTTACCTTATCTCGACCGCCGTAAGTCTCGATAATTTCACAAAATTCATTTACAAATTTCGTCGTCGACATACTGTTAAACCGTAATTTTGTTTTTGTCACGTGACTACTTTCGCAAATAGGTAATTAATATTTTAAAGTTAATTCAATGCTATTGCAATATTTTATTGTAAATAAGCAATCAGCTGCTAAATTTACACAACTTTCACACAGCGATTGTCAAAATGAACTGCCACAAATTCACTGTCACTACCGCGAATATGAACACACAAGTTGGGTGTTCAAAAGTAAATGGGCGACCACTGCACACTCATACTCTATAGCGCCCTATCATACCTATATAAACGAATGATGCCTTTGAAGCTTTTAAGTTTAAACTAATAACTTTACTCTAAATTATTACCTAATTCGCTCCCGAGTACCCAATTTAAAAAAATTAATAAACGGCTTTAATGGCATCACTCTCAGTGTGTGTATTAGTTATTTATATTAATATTATAACTATTTCAATAATCAACGTGCACATTTCACTTTTAATAGCGCTCAAATTTTTTAAGACATTCATTTTGGATGTAAACAAATAGTTCATCGGCAATGCACTGTTTTTGTTTTAGGAAATGTCAAGGAAAAAAATAAGAAGGTCAGATGTTTTTCCATGTTTGTAAATTAAGGTACCATTTTTAAAGTTCCAATTTATGGTATTAATTATTTTTAATTAACACGGTTTGAATTGTTTCTATTAAAATCACTTTCTTGATATCACACTTATGATATTAATCACTAATTCCCATTTTTCTGCGTAGAATTTTTTTTGATATTTTATACTATACAAATTTAAAATGTTTGATATAAGTAATGAGGAAACTTTAGTATACCATCCATCGAGTTCAGAGTTAAAAGTGGTATGGTTGAATTGAGGAGATTTTGCAGGTCAAAAATGTATACGATTATAGCGCCGGAAACTTATAGTTTTCGAGATATTTGCATTTTAATTTGAAAATGTAACGAATTTTATCTTGCAATTTCTCGGTTTATTGTTAACTCTTCTTTTATATTATGCACTTTATATACACTAAAGCTTCACTACATTGTTTCTACATATTTATTTTATATGAATTATTTTCATATTTGCTTTAAATAAACATTTTATTTATTACACAATTTTAGTTATGTGCCCAAATGGGTTCCTTGTTGACAAATAATAAGTGTTACCATATCTATTATAAATTTATAGATATATATATTCTTGATCTGTAGAATCTCCTCTATTCAACCATACCCTTTTTAATTCTCAAATCGTGGGATGGTATACTAAAGCCGACCCAAAATAAAATAGAAGTTGTTTCTAGATTTTAGTTTAGTATTATTACAACTCTGCAAGCTCTATTAACAATACAACTCTGACTCACTGTTTGCTGTTAACATCAGCAGCTGTGCAAACTTTGACGTTTGCTTGTAAAAACCATCGTATAGGGGTAAAAGCTATTAATTGTAATAAGTAAACTTATTGCTGTAATTTATAAAGTTTTATGTGGAATGCCAGAAATGGGTGAAAAAAGTAGCGGCAACAAAGTGAAAAAGTCGAAAAATGACTTGTTTCGCACATCACTGGGATATTATCTGAAGCAGAAGAGTTTTGTGGTAAATATATGAAGAAGACTTCTTAAAAACCTTCGGCTACAAATACTGACTCAAACACTCTTGCAGGGTAATGAAAAATTTCGTAAATCTGACTTTCTGCTGTTACAAAATAAGCGACAGTTTATGGTTCAAAAGATGTTGGATCTCGATTTGCAATGTGGGAATTCATTCGCGTTCTCCAATGTGCTGTGCATCACGAATAATCACCATATTGTTGACCAGCAATTTGGGCGGTAAGTTATATTTGGGGTACAAGCATACATACTTATGCACATGTGCAAATTTCTAAAATAATTGTATATATTTTTTCACAGTTTCTCACAATTTGTTGAATCACAAAGTGAATTCATACGTTTAGAATTGCGACGCTTTTATGCGCCTATGTTATGCCACCTATATGTGGAGCTGATGAAAGCGCGCGAACAAAAAGCTGCATCTGACTTACTTAAGAAATACGCACAATTAGTTGCACCTGTAGAAACTTACGATGCACCCTTACCTACAAAAATCAATGGCTGTTCCGTTGCTAATGACACACATGCCGATCAACCCAACAATGCCACTCCACATACCAGCATACGTTTTGTGAATGCAACAAATGATACATCTACAGATCCCGAACTAATGTATTTCATAAAACTAATACAAACACTGTCTGCATGCACAAAATTAGAGGCGGCCGAAAGTGATCAAGAAGTGGCGCATTTTCGTGCTTCCAAATATGAAATACACACTACTGAGGCGGTAGTCGACACTTTGCGTGGCTACTTGGAGAAACGTGGTCATGTGCTCTTACTCAATCTTCTATATACATGGATACACGTACACGTCATCGATAATGAGGTACCCAAATGGAGTGAAGATAACATACTTATGGGCTTTGAGGCGGCTGAAGATGACGAAGAAAGCAAATATAATATGACAGAGGTAAAACCGAAAGTCAGTGTTGCGAATGAACGCTCGACTACGAAGCGTGAGGCGGAAGAACCACCCGAAGAGCTTATGGTGAAAACTGAAAAATGCGACGACGTTTTAGATGAAATGAAAAAAATTCGCCTTCAGCAAGTAACAGATAGCATGCAAACTTTGCGTATTTGTAGAGAGCAAATGATGAAAACTCAAGTGCAACATCCATACATTATTAAACTTGCCGATCGGAGTAGAGGGTGAGTAGTAGAGCAATAGCTTATGCATAATAATTATATATATTTTATAACGTACAATAATTGCCTTTCGTAGCCTTTCCGCCGCTCACGTTGATCCCAATGAATGCCACCTCGTTGCTGGATTCAATAATTCGGTCGTACAACTCTGGCAACTAAATCAACAAACTTGTAGTGGCAAAAATCTATATGCACGCTTTGGGGATTCTGTGTGTCGCTGGGAGCTAAACAATGTTTGCGCTGAAGAAACTGAGATTGAGGATCAAATTGATTTGGATGTTAGAGAACATTCGCGGTTAAACGTAAACGATAGGCGGAAAAGCAAATACGAAGCTGGCAAATACGAAAGCAATTCTTTGTAAGCATTGTAGGGTCTCTTGTATTTATGTACTAAATATTAACCATATTGAAATTTCTAACTTTAGTAATGAATATGGTGGCATACAGTTGCGTGGTCATGGCGCTGGCGTTACGGACGTACGCTTCTCCACACATTGCCCGCTCATTTTTAGTACTTCGAAAGATGCCACAATACGTAGTTGGCGTGCCGAAAGTTTTGGCTGCGCGAACATCTATCGCGGTCATCGCTATCCAGTTTGGTGCATCGATGAGAGTCCGGTGGGCATGTACGTTGCGACCGGTTCGAAAGATCTCACAGCGCGTTTGTGGTCGTTAGATCGTGAGTTTCCACTAATTACATACGCTGGTCATACTCAAGATGTGGAGGTTAGTGGGCAGAAAGAGAAATTTTATTTATATATTTTTTCTAAATTTTTTGATTTCCCTTCTAGTGCATAGCCTTTCATCCGAATGGCAATTACCTTGCCACTGGCTCAGCGGATTTCTCCGTGCGTTTATGGTGTGGCACAAGTGGGAAACTCATGCGCGTATTTTCCGACTGCAAGCAGCCTGTTACGAATATTGCATTTAGTCCTGATGGCAAAATGTTAGCCGCTGGCGGTGAAGAGTCCAAAATACGCATTTTCGATTTAGCCGCCGGGGCACAGCTGAACGAACTGAAAGACCACACTGCCACCGTAAACAGTATTGCCTGGAGTAAGGGCGGACGACATTTAGCGTCGGCGTGTCGCGATGGCACTTTGCGTGTGTGGGATGTCAAGAAGTTGTCACCAATGAAGTAAGTTCTGTCTGTTTATGTATATGTACCAACAATTACAACACATTTTATTTCTGTAGCGACAGCAATAACGGCACTAGCACCGCGAACACCTCATCTTCCTCCTCCTCCTCCTCATCAACTAATTTGAACAAGGTTATGGCCTTGAGCAGCAGCTGTCAGCGTTTGGTAAAAGTGTCATTTAGCCGGCAAGATGAAGTGATTTGTGCTATAGGCAGCTAAGGCACTTAACCCTTATTCGTATTAGTATATACAGCTAAAAATGCGTGTTAAGACATCTATGTATTTAGAAAATAGTAATGCAAGAACAAATTATTATTAGAATCAAACAAGAGTGTAGTACTCGTACTTGTTAAAGAGCATGATTAGTTTATTTTAAGAAACTAAATTATTAAGTTCTGACTAAAATTAGAAAAAAACCGAATAAATTAATTAAGCGATTACATATAATTAAAGTATACATGAGTGAACTTTTCTTTTTTTTAAAATGACAGTTAGCTATTAGACATGTGGTTTCAATATCAATAAATTAATTGAGCATTAAGGTGCATAAGTGAAACATGAAATTAAGTAATACATAATTTAAATGTAAATAATTTTACATTAAAAACATCACTACCTTTACTTATCATACACAAATACAAACTTTACAGCATAAAATCCATTTTATGAATTTTAGCCCAATTTATGCAGGCAAACATTTTTTCCATAATGATACAATAATAATTATTTCATACCTGATCTTTATTCGGAGATTGCCTATTTTAACACTATATCTTTGATTAAACTAGTTATATTTTTACAAAGGTTCTGAAACATTTTTAACAGTTAGCACAGCCTTAGTGCTTGCATTACACACCCACTTGTATGCAGACATGTGTGTAGCTGTTTAAATTGGCTTCAAGTGAATAAACAAATGAGTGAAAACAATTTTTGAACGAAAACTTCGATAAACTTAAAAGAAAGGTAATACATGTTTTATTTTTTAAATATGTACTAATAGGTATATCTGAGAGTGTATGTGTGATGTACTGCTTTTTTACTGTTAAACAACTACAATTTTTTATTATATTAATTAAAATATTTTTTTTTTTTTGTATTCTTATAGATTATGAATACCGAGTATATAGCTAGTTTATATACGAAAGTATACGCAATCTTGTTGTAACATAGTAATTTCATTAAAACGTACATTAGTTATTTTAATTAATTATTATTATTTTTTTTTTTGTTTTAGGCCTTATTGAACAAACATCAGACGAACGAACACAAAGTAACGGAAAACCCAATTTAGCTTAACGCTTGTGTCGGCCACGCATAAACTGCAATGTTTTCGCCATGAGTGGTGCCTTCTTGGCACGCATCGGCGCATGAGCTATAAGTGAGTGTAAAATAGTTGCCTCAGCAAAGTTAAATTAATGATATCGTATTTGTGGTACTCACAAACTTGTGCCGTGTCGCGTACAGTAGCTGCTACGCGCAGACGCGTATCACCCACTTTGCCGGCGTTTGGTGTGACGCTGGATAGTGCTGCGACGCGTGCCGCCGGTGTGGCAACCAGTTTTGCTTTCGTACCAAATTGTTCCTGTTTACGCATCACATTACGCGGCGGCTTCACCATCGAATCAACAAACGCCAGTTGCGTTTTACGCACGGGTGCAGCAATTATTTTTTGCGATTGCTTTATAGTCGCCGTGAGGCTATTCAACTTTTGTTCCTTTTCCTCTTCGCAACGCTAAAGGTTGATGTTATAAATGCATATTAATTAAAATTCCAATTAATATAAATGTAAATCTTAGGATATCTGCCAACGTACCAAATACATTTCACGCCACGACTCCATTTCTAAGCGCTTTTTGGAGCGATAATTGCGTTGCACATGTATCTGCCACAAGCAATCGCTGTCCTCCATCAAATATGGATTATATTCTTCGAATGTTAGTAACTGTTGCGGTGTGGCGCGGTCCAATACAGGTCGCAGCACATCAAACGGTACACCGCCAGTGTATTCTAGACCTGTAAAGGTAATTTAATTACACAGAGCTTAAACCAATAAGAAGCATGAAGTTCATACCATCGATATTCTTCTGTAATACGCGTATGCATAGATCAAATAGTGATGGTACTTGCAAGACTTGACCTGTCTTGACACCAGAGTATATTTTCGTACTAAAATTGCAAGAAAATTCAACAAATTAAAATTAAGTATTAAATAATTATATTACTATCGGTATATTTCGGAATACTTACCGCATTGTTTTCGATGAGATGCCATGACTCAGTACTTCTGCATCAGTGAGTGTACGCACAGGTTTAGGAGTGCTCAATACCGCGCCGCTATTACGGTAAATACAATCCATTACAGTCTTATTGTGTGGAAGCGGTTTATAGTTGGCTGAAATCGTTGGGAGTTCAAGCGCAATACTCGGATCAAGTGGCGCCAATTTCGCCGATGCCGACAATAAATCTGGTTTCTACAAATCCGAACAAAATATTAATATTTATAATAAAAAAAAAAACAATAAATAAATATTTAAACAAATTAACTTACCGTATCCACAGGTTTTGTTGAACTACTTGCTGAGCTTATTGGGCTCGGTTTGTATTCATTTCTAGCATTTTTACTTGAACTGCTGCTACCGCTCGCCTTGTCATTCGACGTAGTCCTGCTAGATGTGCTAACAGTGGGCGATTTGCTAGTGTTTACCGATTTTTTCGCTTTCTTTGTTGGCATATTAAGCATACCCAGAACATCGGCGAAATTCGCACCCATCGACGAATCAATACCATCATCCGCATCAACTTCGTCCTCATTGTCGTTAGCAATTGGTGGTTTTTGTTTTGTGGCTTTTGGTGTCTTCGGCACCTTGACTATTGTTGGAGTCGAATCGTTCGAGTCACTGTCTTGTTGACGTTTTCTGCTACTATTTCTGTTCTCACTTTTGGCATGTGATGATGATGAAGTAGCAACTTGTTCGTTTGCCGATGTGGATGGCTTGTTGCTGCCGTTAGATGAATGTGATGTAGAGGAGTTTTGATGTTTGTCGCGATGTGATGTGTCTTTTGATGAAGATTTACCTTTGTCATACTTGCTCTATTAAAAGAGTGTAAAAAAAAAAAATTATAAGAATTTGAAAAACATATATTTTTAAATAATTTTAGAAATAGTTTTACATTTTTAACTCAACTTAAAAAAATTAAAAAACAATAAAAATTAATAATTTATATATGTATGTATATTATTAAAACAATATTATTAAAAAATAATAATATGATTAAAATAATAATAACAAATTAATAAATAAATAATTATAATTTATCTATTAAACATACATTAATATTTCGTTGATAACTACGACAATATAAATTCATTATTTACCTCCTTTGATCGTTCATGCCTATCTTTGTCCTTCGACGATCTATGCTTTTCGCTCTCATCCTGTTTGCTTGTTATCTCTGACGAAGAATTCGTTTCACGTCTTGACGAACTCGTATGTTCACTCTGTTTCACACCCTTCAGGGCTTCTCTCTTTTCTTTAGAGTCACCACCATTTTTGTGATGTGTTGACGAAGAAGAGGCAGTTTTAGCATCCCTGTTTGAGCTGTGTTTCTCACCATGTTCGCGATGTCGCGTCGATTTCTCATCTGACGATTTATGTCTATCATTTTCGCGATTCTTTCCCTCATTTCGGCGATCTTCATGTTTGGATTTCTTTACGGCGTCTAATTCTTTTTCTTCCTGCTCCACATCCCGTTTACGTTTTGTCGTTGAGTTTTCATGTTTGTGTGTTTCATTATGTGATTTAGATTTATGCCCCGAACTGTCTTTGTCTCTGTTCTTATTTTGGCGTTCTTTTGATGTATTTTCACTTAACGCATTTGAATGAGTATGTTCTTGTGGAGAAGTCTTTCTTGAGTGATTGTGACGATCATCATCACTTGACCCATGCCCATTGGCATCATTCATATCATCATCATCATCGTCATTGCCTTGACAGTTATTGACCTCCGCTGGTTCTTCTTCAGCTGCAACCATAGCTTTCCATTTGGTGACCAAAGCTTTTGCAGCAATACCAATTTCCCCATTATATTTGCGCAGTGAGTTGACTGTTTTGCCAACTCCAGTCTCCTGTAAATGTTCTACTTTAACAGGTAATTTATACAACTTGTTGATACAATGCAAAAGCTGAAAGGATAAAAAAAAAAACATATTTATAGACATATATATAATTGAGTAAATAGATACAAGTTTAAAAAGGTAATAAAATTTATCTCCGACTATATACCATAAGTCACATTGTCTTTTGTTAGGAACAACTTCATTATAATAAAGTACAAAAACAAACTAGCAGTATCTGTTAACATCCTTAATTACATATGCGAATACATGCAGGTAGATATCTGCAAAAATTAACAGCTGTCTTGAAACAATATCAATTTCGACTTTCTTTTTTTGCAACATTCTACATCAAAGAAAAACTTCATTAGAATTTAGAGAATTTACCAAACACTCATACATTTATATATGTTAGTTTGTGGTTTTCAATACAGACATAAATATGTATGTTTTTCGATAGTGTAATTTAGCAAACTAAACATTGTTACATATATATCCAAGGTAATTGAGATATGGAAAGGGTTCACACATGCATTCATATATATGGAAGACTTACTCTGCCCTCATCGTCCTGGGAATGCTCGATACTTTTTTGGTAATGTTGAATAACACCTAAAATAGATGCAGATGACATTATCGACTGCTTCTGCTGTTCCAAACGTAACTTTATTAACGTAAGCAATTGTGCTTATTTGACGATTGATTTGTTTGCCTATACGTGACAAAAAAAAACACTAGACGTTTTTACAAAATTTGTGTTTCTCGATTTTATTTTGACTTTTTTTGTGTTTGATATTCCAGTGTCAATGAAACAGGCCTTTTGGGAAAGAAAAAAACGATTTTAACGTTTTACTAATCACACGTATTTAGAAATTACACCCTTTCCCATATAGGATTATTTTCACTCATTCTTACGACTCTATTTTAATGCGACAATTTACGGAATTCACGCCTTATTATATTACAATTTATATCAATTTTCATAAGTTAACAATTAAGGCTACACTAATTTATTTCGCCTAATGTCAGAAAAGAAATGAAGATATTTTTTAAATGACAATCATTGACGTTGAATAGGTATGTTAATAAAGGTAAAATCTACACAGTGTTGCATGACGTACAGCTGTCAGTGTACTCAGTGCAGTGTTCACATAGCAACTCGATAAAAATCTTAGTTGTATATCGAAATGTAAAATTCTATATAGAAGTGACTAATAAAATCTTAAGTTTATGATTTTCGTAAACCAAACATGTTTATATTTATTATTGAAAGTCTTAAAGTAATTGTATGGAGACTGAAATATGTTGCGGCAACAGTACCATTTGGTTATCGAAAATTTTACCTAAATAATCGCTGTTCAGATGCGATTGTTTTCCACACCCTTACGTGAATGACAACTTGGCGCTCCATAAATTGCATTTGTTTCTTTAACATTGTTTGAATATTATTTTGTAAAGTTATTTGAAAACAGAAAATAATTCGCCAAATAAATTATGTCACAGGAATATGACGTATTTGCTGATTTATACGGCAATGATAATGGTAAAAAGTGTCTGATTTGCTTGTAAGCGACCATTTGCAAAATTTTTTAAATATACACTTTATCTCTTTGTAGAGGAAAAAGCTAAATTTCTCGAGACGCTTAAATCTCATACAGTGGATACGTTAAGCAATATCAGTTCAGATGGTGAAGATTTTCTTCCACCATCTTTACAACGTAAAGAAAAAGGACGTGGTAAAAAGGACAACCCACCTCCTGTGAAACAAGTTGAGCTGTCCACTACAACTACTGCTGCGAAAAAGATAAGAAAGTCTCATTCACAGCCTACCGAAGGTGTAATTCAACGCACGACTAATAATCAATCCACACAACCAACTAATCCTGCTCCTGTTGGCAATAGTCGTATAACGCGCAGTAAAAATGTGGTAGCGCCGCAAGCACCAAGTTCAACGGTCACAATATCCACAACAAAAACCGCACCTAGTAGAGCAAAAAACGGTCGCCGCGGACGAAGTAGAGGTGGGGTAAATGAACCCGATATTGTAGAACCGAGCAATACGATATCCTTGACGGAATCTCTTGACGTATTAGGTGCAATGACTAGAGGACAGGTGTGTGCTGCTGCCTGAAATTAAGTTTTATTTACACATTAAATATTTAATTTTTTTTGCAGACTAGACGTAGTGTGATGCGCGCACGTCGGAATTACTTCGCAGAAATCGCTGCTCGATCCACAAATGTGGACTACGTTGATTTGGTGTCAAGTCCATTACCACACATTGAAGGCGTTGTAAGTTGTATTTAAGCAAATGTTGTTAGTAATTTTTTGACCCGATAAAATATAATAATAGATTGCAGTTGACTCCGATGGAGAGGACGATGGTGTTGAGTTTCATAGCGTAGAAACGCATAATACATCTGTACTCGCAACGCTAGAATGTTCTTTTGATGAAGATAATCCAGAGGTTTCGGTAAAAATAAAGTGGGATAGTGGAACACCAGAAGTTTTTAAGCTACGGAAATATCAAAAATTCCACGATATATTTAGTAAAATAGCAGAACGCGAAAATACACCCATCGACAAATTAGTTTTCAATATTGATAATCGCATTATATCAGCCAGTGAAACGCCTGCCAGTATTAATTATAAAGTTTACGAATTTATTAGTAAGTGGACCTATATCAATATTATTTCATGCCATATCAAAGAGTGTTAAAAATTTCTTGCTATACAGGTGGTCGTGCTTTGACACATCACTTTGATACCAGTGATTTGAAAAAGAAGCGTGATGCCAGTGTAATTACGCTAAAAATTCAGTCGGATTTGTGGCCAAGAAAACCATTACAAGTGGAACTTAGCAAAACTGATAAACTAAGAATCTTGTATATCAAATGTGCCGAAGAATTGAAAAAATCGGCCGAGGAGATTGTTTTAAGGTATGTATTGTGGATTATTTCGTATTCATTGCAAAAATCGGATTTTATTTTTTTAGTTTCAACGGTGATCACTTAGGTTTCAATGAGACACCTGAAGACTTCGAATTCGAAGGCGGTGAGGCGATTGATTTGCGTGTAAAGAAGAAATAAGGATACTCGTTTTATAGTTTTTAAATTAGGAACTTGTACTGAAATTGTTGTTTTCTTTTTTAGTTAGTAAGTAACTTCAGCATTTATATTTTTATTTTATTTTTTTGAATATAAAGATGGTGTATAAATCTTTCGTCTGTAGAAAATTATGATTTGTTGTATAAATTTGGAATTCAAACATGTATTTAATCTCTACCTATATATTTAATTTTGTTTGATTTATGCATATATAATAAGCAACTGAATATTATTTTTATGTATTTAAATATAATTAATTTTGATAATGAAAGTCATCTGTAAACTGCAGTTATTGTAGTATTTAGCTTTAGCTCTCGCTATTGGAAAATGGAATACACAACAAAAGCATTTGGTGGGAGGGAGGAAAGAATGAACAATTAAATTCTTGAGTACATTTAACAAATCTGCAACTACGAGCATAAAAGCGTACAGCAACTGAGCGTAAATCTGAATGGGGGTGGAAAGCGGGTGGGAGAGCGCACGAGACATGGTTGAGCACAACTACAACAACCCGTGCCACCACCAAAAAAGTTCAACCTCCTCGCAGGCTAACACATTAAAGCGCTTTCGCTCGCGCATCTCAACTTTGGCGAGCAGAAGCGAATACGAAAGTTTTAAAACTTTGCAGATTCGATGTGACTTGAATTCGCGCACAGGAGTTTCGCATTCGGTGTGTTCAGAAAGAGCAAGTCCTTTGTGGCAAATGGCTGTGTTCTCTGTTTTGTTCAAATATACAACATAACTACAGGCAAATATTTAGCAATCGCACAAATATTTTAATTTTTTTCACAAATTAAAATTACGCTTTCAACTGCATTAACGTGACAAAAATATTTTTAAATTTTATTGTGTTTAAGCCAAAATAACATTTGTGTTAAGTGCAAAAAATAAATAAATCTACAAATAAAATAATAAAAACAAAACATTACTCGTTATAGCATAAAAGCAAAAGTCTTTCATATATTATATACCCGCATATATATTACTATATGTACATCCTTTTTGTTTGCGTGTTGTATGTGGTCTAAGGTGTGTGTTGTGAAAGTGGCAAAGACGCAATACAAACGCTTTAATGCAAGCAAATATTTATTGATATTTTGCACGAAATTGTGTGTAATTGTTAAGGGACTTGACCAACAAACAGCAGGGAATAAGTGCAACAACATATCGTATTTTGCGAAAACAAAGTGATCAAGCAAATTAAAAGAACTTTGCATATTAAAGGTGATATTTAATGCTGTAGAGAAATTTAGGTAAATATGCAATTAAAGTAAAGAGATTATTAATATTTTTATACCCTGAACAGGGTATATTAAGTTTGTCATGAAATTACTAACACCCAGCAGCAAACGTAGAAGACTCTCTAAAGTATACATATAATATATTGTATAAATAATCAGTTTGACGAGCTGAGTTGATTTAATCATGTCCGGCTGTCTGTGTGTACATACGCGAACTTGTCCCTCAGTTTTTGAGATATCGATTTGAAATTTTGCATACCTCCTTTCCTCTCCAATTATCTGCTCCTTGGTCGGAAAACACAAAATTTGAAATACCATAGATTATTATCTAACGCAGCGATACAATATCCGGGGAAACTGTTCAGATCGGCCCACTATAGCATATATGTAGCTACCATATAAACTGACCGAGCAAAATAAAGTTTTTTAATGGAATCATTTGTATTTGTGAAGGGTATTATAACTTCCTTGCAACTGAAGTTAACGTTTTTCTTTTGTTGTAAATACCTTTTATTGATTAATTTGATAAAAATTAGTTGTGAATTTTGCTGCAATTTATAGAACTGAATATTAAATTTTTGAAAGTTTAAGTAAAATGCAAAAAAATAAATGTTTTTAATGGCACTAATGGTTCTAAAATTTATTTTTATAAGATTTTGATATTTTAACTGTTATTATATTTATACATGTGATGTTAAGTTTTTATATGTACAAGTATATCTACATACGCGTAGCAATAAAATATTTGTAAAGTGAACAGAAGAATTCAACATATTAATTTTGCTGGCAACAATGTAAATTACGCAGTTTGCAAATGCATTTACATGTGTGTGTGTACAGGTATGCTACACGCTCTAGCGCCTGAATGTATGCAATGCCTTTAGTAAATTCATATAAAAGCAACTGACTACTTATATTTATTAACACATACATACAATATATTTACATCTGTATATATATGTATATACGTATATAGATATACAGGTACATATGTATATATGCATTTACAAGTGTTGTTTAGAAATACCAAAACGATTTTCAAGTATTTAGCGCTGATACCCCTGTCATATTAAACTCTCTGAGCATATTGTCGGCACATGTGCATATTTATGTACATATATATGTGCGTATGTTTATTTTTACGCATGAATATAAGTTTAGCCTGTACTTATGATGCCAGGATGTGATTTGTAAACACTCATACAAGCGCAAAAGTTGTCACTTTCACATGCAAACGATATACATACATACATATATTAACTAAGTATAAAAGCTACACTGTCATGGCACACGTAAATGTAGCTGATTTCTTGTGCATACACATGGACACTCTCAATTATAAGTGAGTGCCATGTGTACAGATATGAATATGTGTAAAAGCTTAAGGATTAACTTTTTGTAGTGATTTTACAACAAGTAAATACATATAAAAGCGTATATATATACATGTAGTTATATATGTATATACACTTATATGTACATACAAAAAACTGTTGATTTTTCGCAGATACGTCACGTTCATTTGTTGCGTTAAAGCGAGCGAAAACATTTAACGAGGAGCAAAAATAAATTTGAAGTGAATTGTGAAAAATGCTAAAAGTGTATTAAAATGTCTAGAATATATTTGTATTGCCATATCGATAAAGGGTTCATATATAATATTTAGAAAGGCAGCTTAGACAGATTATGAATATTTGAATGGGATGGTGATGATTGGGTTATATCCAGGGTTGCAAATAGTGCATTAAAAAAAATAATTGAAGTAACATTTTAGTTAAAATTTTTCATTTATTTTGTAATCCCAAATCCGGAGAAATAGTACCTTCAGGTGTTTTCGACGAAACCCTGAATGATTACGATCAAATTTGGTATTTTATTAAGTTAGATAGACTCACATAGTTTTATTGTTAGCAAATCAAAAAAAACGCGTATCTTTATGATATTTTTTTTTAACATAAACAAAAAAATTATGTAAGTTTAGAGAACTTAATGAAATACAATAACAAAAAATTTTTGATTCTCTTGATCTCGTGGTAGATCTCCAGGAGGACCTCCGTAATAAAGGTGTAGGGCGCTGAGGCAGAATTTTATGCTTAAAATAATCTCAAACCCCCAAAAAAACAATAAAAAAAATATTACATATGACAAATGTAGGCAATGATCGAAGGGCTGATCAAAAAATTTTTGTTTTGATAAATGGCGGCTTTCCAAAAAAATGTAGACTTCAGAGTAGCAAATAGATATAGTGTGTTACTTATTTCTAGGATCGAGGAATGAATTTTTCATTTTTATTTGTAAAGTTTTTTTCTTTTTTGATTATTTATCGAAAGATAATTTTGCTACTTTCTAGCCACATTTTCTGATATAAACATTCTTCAAGTCGAACTACTTAATAAGGAAATAATATATTTTATGAATATCCTTTGAATGGTTAGTTCTCCGAATACGGAAATTGTGGCCTTGAATACTCTTTGCAAAATTTCGAAAGGATACAAGAATTTGATTTTGATGGCAGTTTGTATGGCAGCTATATTCTATAGTGTTCTTATATAGGGTGATCCATTTCGAGGTTCGCTACCTAAGCTCAGCAGCCGATGGCGTCACTATCACAAAAGAAATTAATTATCGTGTAGTATATTCTCATGGATTCAGTTCAATGTCGGTCAGTGAGTTATTATTATACTTTTTTTTTATGAGATCATCGATTTTTGCTGGGTCACCTAGGTATTCCACAAAGTCTACGATTTGGTATTGGCAAGCCGCCGATTGAAGGTGCGCGAGATAGTTGAGACATTATGAAACTCAAAAGATCGATTACATTTTATCCTTCATGAAGTATGGGACAAGCGAACGTTGTTGGCGCAATGGGAGTCACGATTGCTCACTTTGGACAACAGGGACAACTGCGATACCACCTTACAGCAATGTTTGACATTATTTAAGCACAATGCGAAGACGATTGTTCTTTCGGAACCGTCGACGAAGTTTGTATCCACTGATACACACCAAAGACCATGGAAGAGTCGAGACGGTTGACTTCGATCAATGCACCTGCTTCAAAGAAGGCGCAGACTGTCCTAATGACTAGATAATGACCAGTGCTTTCTGAAATTTAAAAGGTGTGATCTAAATCTGAAGAAGGGTCACAGAGTGCTACTATGCGAAATTATTGGTCTGATCGGACGATGAATTGTAGATAACGGTTTTGCCACCATGACAACACATCGAGTCCATCGCCACGTCAAAATGGGTTGAACTAGGCTGCGAACATCTGCTCCGAAAGTTTGGAGTGATTTCTATTTGTTTCCAAACTCGGCAGAAGTCACAGTCGAATAAGCAGACCTACACAAAACTTATTTTTCAGAATGGTAAAGAAGTATGTAAAAATATCGTCGAGTAAGTTTATGCAAAAGAAGACTACACAGTTTGAAAAATTTTCCCTTTTCCTCTGTAAGCTAAGTACTTATCGAACTGCCCTTCTATATGGTGTATGCAAACTCAACCATACATTTATATCTATATTTGTATGTTTGTTAATAAAAAGCTCAAACTCCTCAACATTTTATTACCCACGGATGTCATTTAACAAATGTCATTTTGAAGGTAAACAAAATGGGGCCAAAACAAAACGGAAGTTAATAAATAAATCAAACAAAACGTCAAACATAAACCGTTGACTGCATTGCGTTTGCGGTAAACATGTGACATTTTGTTGCTTTTGCACGGCCGTTGTCTCCTTGTCTATTTGCATAAAACAAATGCATTTTTGGCGCGTCCAACCTTTGTGCACTGAGACCAAAATAGAAATAAAAAAAACAAACCAAAATATAGCCTTTAGAATGGCACACCACAACAGTAGTAATAGCAACAAAAGCCACCGAACACCATAAACAACAAGCTAACAAACAACAACGCCATCAGACAAACCAAAACAATGGCACCATGGCGCAACGGAAGGGAATGGAAGAGAATGGCGAAATGCTACAATGCGAAAGGGTCGTGAACGCAACGGCATTCCGACTGATTCGACTCCATTTGCCACTTGCCATTTGGCCATTAATCGCAAACACTTTAGACACTACTGCTTTCGAGCTTCGATGCTAGCCGAATGTATATGAGCCCTCAAAGTACATTTACAATGTCTGGCTCAACCAACGCACGAAGTTTGGTGTTGGTGTTGCTGTTGTAGAGCTTGGCAACATTAAAACAACCGTATCAATGCTTATTTGTACGTAGGAACGCCATGTAGTAAGCGTGTATTTCAAAACTGGTATGACCATCGTTGACTTCATTTTAACTCCAGCCTTTGGGTCCTGCTAGAGGAGTTGTAAAGGCCAGTTGCATCAACTGGCGCGCTGTTTGTTCGCCCAGCGGCAACCGGTATGGGTGTATGTTGTTTGTTTGCATTGTTTGTTATTTTTTACAGTTAACTTTCGATACACTTGTACACATGTTCATACTAGAAAGTCCACGGCATAAAGTGTTTTATATTCGTGGGGTAAAGTAATTGTTGACGGAATCCAGAAGAAGGTTTGGTGGTTGAAACAATATGTTCAAACGTTTTGTGGGTGTGGTAGGTCTATTCATGAAAGCGTGCGCCGATGGGCGAATTAAAACATCAATAAAAAATGCTTT